TCTTTATGATCTGTAGAAAAGGACATTTTCACAGCATTCTCCTATTTTATAATTTTGTTTGGCTTATAATTATGTTCATTTCTTCAGGTTATGTTGATGCAGTGAGTGTGTCAGTGATGCGAGGAGATTCAGTCTCTCTACACACTGATGTTGAAAAAAACCAACAAGAGGAGATTAGATGGTATTTTAATGACATTCACATTGCTGAAATCAGTGGAGATCCCAATAAGACCTGCACAGATGTTCAGTGTGAAGATGCTGGTGACAGATTCAGAGACAGACTGAAGCTGGATCATGAGACTGGATCTCTGATCATCACAAACACCAGAACCACAGACTCTGGACTCTATAAACTACAGATCAACAGCAGCAGCGACAGTCTTCTTCAGCTCTTCAGTGTTTCTGTCTATTGTGAGTCAGTATGTTCCTTATTTGATCCACAGTTCTTTCATGTCGTGTAGTTTGTATGTTGGTTTCAGCAAAAGATCCTCCAGCAGCTGTTGGTTTATGTTCCAGATGTTCCTGAACGAGAGAAAATGAAGAGAAAGTCAGTGAAGGAGGGAGAATCTGTCACTTTAGATCCTGGTGTAGTAAAAACCACAAATTATTTGATGAAATGGCTTTTTAATGACATTCGGCTGAAATCAGGGAGATTCAGAGACAGACTGCAGCTGGATCAGACTGGATCTCTGATCATCACAAACACCAGAACCACAGACTCTGGACTTTATAAACTACAGATCAACAGCAGCAGCGACAGTCTTCTTCAGCTCTTCAGTGTTTCTGTCTATTGTGAGTCAGTATGTTCCTTATTTGATCCACAGTTCTTTCATGTCGTGTAGTTTGTATGTTGGTTTCAGCAAAAGATCCTCCAGCAGCTGTTGGTTTGTGTTCCAGATGTTCCTGAACGAGAGAAAATGAAGAGAAAGTCAGTGAAGGAGGGAGAATCTGTCACTTTAGATCCTGGTGTAGTAAAAACCACAAATTATTTGATGAAATGGCTTTTTAATGACATTCGCATCGCTGAAATCAATGGAGATCTTAGTTTTATCTGTACAGATGTTCAGTGTTTATATGCTGACGAGAGATTCAGAGGAAGACTGAAACTGAATCATATGACTGGATCTCTGACCATCACAAACACCAGAAGTGAAGACACTGGACTCTATTATCTACTGATAACCACCATCCGGTTCAACATCATAAGGAGCTTCATTGTTGATGTCACTGGTGAGTGTTATTTAGTGATGAAACTCACAAAATATATTAATCTTTGATCTCGTAGGTGTCTGATCCACTATGTGAAATGAAAACTATCTGTCTCTTTATGATCTGTAGAAAAGGACATTTTCACTATTAATAAAACAAGACCACATATTTGTACTAAATGTATGAAATTAATGTGGTGAAAATTTAATTAAATTAGCTGGCTTTATTAATTAACTGTTTATTTCTTAATTTTTTCCGGTGTTGATACAGATATAGTGCCAGTGTCTGTGACAGAGGGAGATTCAGTCACTCTACACACTGATACTGAAAAAATCCAACAAGAAGAGATTAGTTGGTATTTTAATGATATTCGCATTGCTGAAATCAGTGGAGATCTCAATAAGACCTGTCCAGATGTTCAGTGTTATAATGGCACTGAGAGATTCAGAGACAGACTGAAGCTGGATCATCAGACTGGATCTCTGATCATCACAAACACCAGAACCACAGACTCTGGACTTTATAAACTACAGATCAACAGCAGCAGCGACAGTCTTCTTCAGCTCTTCAGTGTTTCTGTCTATTGTGAGTCAGTATGTTCCTTATCTGATTCACAGTTCTTTCATGTCGTGTAGTTTGTTTGTTGGTTTCAGCAAAAGATCCTCCAGCAGCTGTTGGTTTGTGTTCCAGATGTTCCTGAACGAGAGAAAATGAAGAGAAAGTCAGTGACGGAGGGAGAATCTGTCACTTTAGATCCTGGTGTAGTAAAAACCACAAATTATTTGATGAAATGGCTTTTTAATGACGTTCACATCGCTGAAATCAAAGAAGATCTCAGTTTTATCTGTACAGATGTTCAGTGTTTATATGCTGACGAGAGATTCAGAGACAGACTGAAGCTGGATCATCAGACTGGATCTCTGACCATCACAAACACCAGAACCACAGACTCTGGACTCTATTATCTGCTGATAATCAGCAGCAGATTCAGCATCATAAGGAGCTTTATTGTTGATGTCACTGGTGAGTGTTATTTAGTGATGAAACTCACAAAATATATTCATCTTTGATCTCGTAGTTGTCTGATCCACTATGTGAAGTGAGAACTGTATGTCTTGCACTTATTTCACTACTCTCAATCTTTATGATCTGTAGAAAAGGACATTTTCACAGCATTTTCCTATTTTATAATTTTGTTTGGCTTATAATTATGTTCATTTCTTCAGGTTATGTTGATGCAGTGAGTAGTGTGTCAGTGATGGAAGGAGATTCAGTCATTCTACACACTGATGTTGAAACAAACCAACAAGAGGAGATTAGATGGTATTTTAATGACATCCGCATCGCTCAAATCACTGAAGATCTCGGTTTTATCTGTACAGATGTTCAGTGTAAATATAGTGACGGGAGATTCAGAGACAGACTGAAGCTGGATCATCAGACTGGATCTCTGACCATCACAAACACCACAACCACAGACTCTGGGCTTTATCACAAACAAGTCATCAGCGGCAGCAGCATCAATTACGGCATCTTCCGTGTTACTGTCTATGGTGAGCCATTCGTTAATATAGCAAGTTTTGTACATTTAAATCTGATCATTGTTCGATGATTGTTCAGTGATTCAAATTGCAGAGAATTTGATGTAAAAAAAAGTATGCAAAATACAAATGTGCTTTGTAGACTGAAAGTCAAGAAAGAGCATGAACATCTCTTTCATATCCACAGTTCTTTTATGCTGTGGATTTAGTTTGTTGTTGATTTTTGTTTCACCTGTTGGTTTGTGTTACAGAAGTTCCTGCTGCTGAACGAGATGAAATGAAGAGGAAGTCAGTGCAGGAGGGAGAATCTGTCACTTTAGACACAGGAGTAATAAAAAATCCAAATGATTTGATGACGTGGTATTTTAGTGACATTCGCATCGCTGAAATCACTGGAGATCAGAGTAAGATCTGTACAGATGTTGATGAGAGATTCAGAGACAGACTGAAGCTGGATCATCAGACTGGATCTCTCGCCATCACAAACATCACAATCACAGAGTCTGGACTCTATCAACTACAGATCAGCAGCAGCAGCAGAATCAGCATCATAAAGAGCTTCAGTGTCACTGTCCCTAGTGAGTATCATTTGGCCATTTATTTCCTTTCCCCTTGAGCAGTTTTAGGGTGCTTTCACACCTGGCCTGTTGTTTAGGAACCTGGCACGTTTCCCTCCTTAGCTCGGTTCGTGTGGGCATATGTGAACACGGCAATTGCGCTCGGATCCGCGCCAAAACAATTGGTCCGAGTCGAGATCACCTGAACGAGGTGGTCTCGGCTCGATTGAAAACGAACTCTGGAGCGGTTCGGTTGTAGTCAGAAATCATTCCGATCTAACGGACCAACGAACCAGGCTATATCACAATGTATAATGGGTAATTACGTAAGTTCCATGAAAAGCATTAGCTTTGTTGTTTTTCTAATACTTCAAAATGAACCTGTGAATGTCTGTGGGTGAGCACGTGTGACAGCTAGTGGAATCCCGGAAAATAAACCGTGAAACTTTGACCAATGAGAGAACAGTTTACTCGTGCATGACTTGTATTAACAAATTTGGTCCGTTTAGAAACATTGCCATATGAAAGCGAACCGCACCAAGAATAAAAAGCAACATTGTAATAATTTTAATCCCTGTTTCGGAACAAAGCAATCGATCTACAGGTGTGAAAGCACCCTTAGAAAACAGTTTGAAATGTTTTAATCAACCTAGTAAATGTTTTCACTGTAGTCTGTTTGACAAAGTGGACTTGGGCCCTTCACACTTGAAATAGTTCAAACTAAACCCTGTGAAAACACAATCTTGGGTTATCTTGTTTCACGTTTCGCACTGTTCTTAATCTGCCTTTGCTTAATGACTTTATTTGCATATTTGCGGTGTCAGTGATTGGAAGAATGTGGCATGCGGCCTATGTATTGCTGACTGCTTTCAAGTTGTTTTCCTGAATGAACTTTTCGGACTTTAAAATGAAGTATGAAAGGTCTCTTCTTCACCTCAATAGACGTGTTTTCTGTCACCATTTGACCCATTGAAATTGACACCATTTGACACAATAACCGAACTTCCCCCTCCGGGCCGCTGCGCACCACGCCCACTTTTTCTTTTCTTTTTAAGTTTTTTTTAGCGTTTTTTAAAACTGTGGTGAGAACTAACCAGTGCTGAAACAGGGGGGTTTCATGACCCTTTAAATCTCGGACAGTAAACTGATGTTACATTCTATTTCTGATGTATTGCAAACGCTCGCGCTACTTCTGACACGAAGGTGGAATGGATTTGCAACGGCCGCTTTGTCGCGTCTAGTGTGAGCTTGACGTGACACCGGTTTGGTGTAGACACGGTGTTAAAGTTCATTATCCGTCACTCACAAAATAATAATAACTGTCTGTCTTTAGCGGTTTCAGATTCAGGTCTGTCTTCAGCCCCTGTAGCAGGAATAGTAGTAGTCCTATGTGTTGGTGTAGCTGCTCTTGTTCTGCTGCTCGTTGCTGCTGGTGTGATTTACTATCGCAAACGTCAAGCAGGACAACATAGTGAGTATGACATACAGATAGTTTTAAAAAGATTGGAAATGTGAGAATCTTTAATTAACCAAAGCAATGAGTGTGTTTAATTGAGTTTGTTATTGTTTACAGACGATGTTACAGACACGGTGATGCAGTTCAGTGATCAGGTAAGATACTACAATGAATCTGCCTGTCTGCAAAATACAGTTTCAGATCTGTGAGTTGACCAGTTGTTTTTGTTTTGAGTGGTTTGATTCAGAATTCATTGCATAAAAAACATCAGTAATAACTGACTCTTCAAGACAGCGCTGCTCTCATACTGTATTAGCTACTTGATAAGGAAACAGTGGTATGAATACATTTTGTAATTAATGATAATAATATAGGCTATTTATTATTATTATATTTACCAAGCAGTTTCAACCCAAGTCTAGGATCAGGGTTTAACAAATGTTTTTGTTACTACAGAAGCAGACCTTGAGGGAAAAAAATAGAAATTACCCCTAAATCCAAATGACACATAATATGCAAAAAAAAAAAGTACAGCTTTATTAGCACAGCAAGTAATAGCAATACTACTCTATTAATACTTGTCAATACTATACTTTAAGCATTTTAGATGTGCAGGCTGTTTAGGAAAGATTAATACAGATTTTCAAAAGCAAAATTAGAAGTCACAATAAGTCATTTTATTTTATTTTTTTATAGTTTGTAAGCTATTTTATAGAAATATTCAAATTCTTCCTGAATAGTTTATTTTAATCAATAATGTGAAGAGAAACACTCAATAGCACTCATCAAGTATTTTTGTGTTTGTGCAACTCAAACATCAATCCTGTTCATTTGCTTTAATTTCTGTGAATCTGTTTTCTTGAAGATGGAAAAAGACCCTGTTGATGACTCCTGCCAATGAATCAGACTGAAACTGGGGCTGCCAATGAGACATCACAGAAACTTTATTATGTTGATACTTTCATTTAAAGGGAACATAAAGAAAAGTTGGGAAACCAATAGTGTCACGATACCAAGATTTCAGTATTCAGTACTGATGCCAGTGAAACCAAATTCAGCTAATTAAAATTCAAACTAATTAGCTATAATTCAGTTTTAAGTGATTTAAATAATAAAAATGTAGCCTAATTTTTTTTGTTATTATGTAACATAGCTTCAGAATAGACAAACCGTAAATTAGCAACTAAATGATTAAAGTTTGAGAAAGCCTGACCAGAAAGTTTCGAGTAGTTTTAAAAGCATAATGTTTAAAGGTTTTGAAGGCCATGCAGTCTATCAGAAAAAAACAGACAGAATCAAATAACATGTTGGCTTTCTCATTAAGAAACAGAGAAAAATATTAATTCCAATAGTTCAAAGAGTGCTTGAGGGTTCTTTCAGTATGTCAGTGTTTATTAAAGGTGCTAAAGTTACATCTTTAGAATTTTCGTATTAGCAACTTTACAGTTCTACACGGGAAGATCCCTGATGAAAACACCAGTATGCTGTTGTTCCCAAGATTCACTGTACTAAAAACTGGTGTTTTCAGCAGAAATCCTTTTATATTAAAGTTAATAAGCTTTGTGCTTTTGTCTGTTTGTGGCGTCTTACATTTGTTGTTAAAGGTTCAAATCCTGCAAGGGTTGATCCATGAAATCTCACCACTGTGTCCTTGATCAAACTCTGAATATCAGGATTTGAACCTGCAACAACTGCACTGAAAGACACGGTGGAGAGAAGCAGCAACCAAATGCCAAATATGTGTTATTTTGTTATATATTTTCATAACTGTTACTGGATGCTAAATAAGCTTTTTACTGGTATATTAAGCAACTGAAGGGTGTTTAAGCACACTTAAAGGAATAATTCACATGAAAATTAAAACTCAGCCATCCAAGATGTAGATGAGTTTGTTTCTTCATCAGAACAGCTTTGGAGAAATCTAGCATTAGAGCACCAGTGAATCCTGCAGTGAATAGTAAAAACAGCCAGAAGGACATGAGACAACAATGAACACAGGAAACACACAGTAGGGACTAACAATGCTGGGAATATAACAATCAGGGACTGATCGAACAAGAAAAACTACAAAGGACCATGTGACAGGAAACAGGAATACAACTTAAACATAAAAGTCCAGGGACAGAACCAGGTAAAATCATTAAGGTGTTTTAACTTGAACCTGTAGCTTCTGGCCAAAATATAAGTTCTTAATGCATAATAACCTCCAAAATATGTTCCATTGAAGAAACAAACTCAACTACATTTTGGACGGCTTTAGGGTGACTACATTTTCAGCACATTTTCATTTTTGGGTGAATTTTTCCTTTAACATGCATTTATTGGTAAAACAACAATATTATAATGTGCATACATGTGTATTATAATCTTAAGATGTTTGCTACAGAAGTTAGAAGTGTATCATGCTTATTTTTGTAAAGTTCTCAGAAAAGACTGCACTGTCAGAGCTGAAGTACTGTAATATGCCAAACTCCTCACAAAAACCTCATCAAAAATGGTTTGTTTTCCAAACACAGTATTAAGAATCAAGTTTAATTTGTGTAAAATCAGTTATGTTACCTTATGTTGCCTATATGGGCAGTATTTCAGATACATGTATTTAAAATACATATTTGAAATACAAAATATTATTTTGTATTTTAAAGCCTTTGGCAAAAATCAGATGTAATTTGTATTTAAATGCATTTAAAATGAGTATTTTCAAAATAAAATACTTTGTGCCAGTCAACCTCTTTATCAGCGTGCTGATTTAGTTCAGACATGAACTCCCCACAACCCCAACATTCATCACGTGAGCTGCAGCTGTACAACTCCATTCAGCATTGGGTGAGTGACTTTTCTGGAATAAGATGAGGTCAGGATGTCATGGTCAATTGTATTTGTTGATTAAAGTTAAAATAGTGCATCATTCAGATTTGCCTTCAGTTAACATGAAAGAAGAAAAGAGCACTGACAAGGGAACAAATAGTGTTTGTCAATCAGTTTTGATAATCGGTTGTTGTTTTTCATTAACTAGCTTGTCAAATGTTTAAAGCATTACTCCATGTTAGGTCTGGGTGATATGACAATATTGTGGCGATGATATAAAGTGTGAATAGTTCAATCAAGTGTGAATATATCCGTGCAGCTTTAAGTGGGAAAACATTGGAGTGGATAAAGAAGCATGGACGGATGGTTGAGTAATGGAGTGTGATGTGCTGCACTTATTATAAGTGCAGTATGCCGTGAAAGGAAATTCAAGTTCACACTCGCACTTTGGCAGGCAGTTTTTTGTGCGCGCGCACAAGTAGGCCTACATTTCTGTCTTAAAGGGTTAGTTCACCCAAAAATGAAAATTCTGTCATTAATTACCCACCCTCATGTCATTCTAAACCCGTAAGACCTTCTTTCATCTTCGGAACACAATTTAAGATATTTTTGATGAATTTTGAGAGCTCTCTGACCCTCCCATAGACAGCAGTGTAATTACCACGATCAAGGTCCAGAAACGTAGCAAGGAGATCGGTAAAATAATCCATGTGACATCA